GCCGAGGGCACCACCGGAGGAGAGGCGAGCGATGACAGCAGCATCACCGTGGTGCAGCTCCCCGCACAGACTGAGGGGACTTGTTACACGGAGCCCATCACCGGGGAAGCCTGCGGCGGGAGAAGGCGGTCTGCTCGGCCTGCCCTTGGCTCTGGGGTCCCTCCTTAAAAAAAGTCTCATCATACTTAATCCTAGACAGTAGCACATGGTATATATTGTAAGACTTTGTCATTTTTTTAATGTTGATATGTATTCGCTCATAGCCTACTGTGCCTTTCACGCAGACAATACAAGTGCATTTTGAAATGACAAATAGGTTTATGTTTCAAGTTTATTTGCATTAAAAACGTGTTTTTAAACCCTTCTGTTCAAATTTTTATTTTGTTTCTTAAAAGATTAAATCTTTAAAAACATGCTGTTTGCCATTTTTAAAGTTTGATGGAAGAAATTAAAATATAGGTCACTGACGTGGAGCTTAATGACCCCATGATGTGATTATGTATATTTTAAAACCTTTAACAACTATATTTAGATGTTCACAAATATCTACATTTATGTATAAATACATGTGTAGCAGTTAGACAAACATAATTAATAGATTATCTCATTAATACCTATTTTATATATTAAAAAAAAGTTTACTAAACCACCGTTTGTTGACAAAATGATTTGGGTTGAAAGTTATACTGTTGTGTCTCAAACGGATAGACTAGGTCAGGGGTTTTCAAAGTGTGGGAAGGTGAGCCTCCCCTCAGAGAACATAAGAACAGCCGCACCATATTATTGTTGTTGCTATAATGCAGGGGTATTATTATCCAGTGGAATGCCCTTACCTACTGGCCTAGTTAAATCAAAGTGGTTACTTATTTTTGTCTGGGCAGTGTAGTTTTACACACCATCTTATTTGACTTTCTCAGGGCAGACCCCCACAAAGAAAAAAATATATGTACACACGTAAGGTCATCATCTTAACAGTTTTTTATGCTCGAGTCATCGGTGAGCAGAGCATCAAGTTGGCATGCCTATTACAGCTGAATGCGGCGATTACCATCTTGTTCAGCAAAACGCCTCACAAACGTATTAAGATCCAAAGCTTTAGTGCGTTTTGATTCAATGCTGAGTACAGCCAAACTTGACAGTCTCTTCTCTGTCATTGTAGACCGCAAATACCTTATTCCTTCCGTGTACTTGGGTCCGAATGCTTCTCGTTTTCTGCCGCCCGTTCAATTGAAATCGCCGCCAATCACATTTCCTCGCTCGCGCCAGGGTTAGAAGGCTCGCGTCTTGTGCTGCATTCACTTGCACTCGGACATCAGGGATTTTCTCTGATAAATGTCCGATGAGCCACAACTTTTATTTCAAAACAAAGCTGCCAACTGGGGTGGCCAGACGCTGTCTCCTCTCTCACTTTAGGTAACTTCACTAAAAATCGATCCATGTTGCCGCTCGCATAAAGTTAGCTGAAGTTAACAAGCTAGATTTCACTGTTTCTCTTTATTTTTTTCTCACGCTGCGCCTCCCCTGAAGCTCTCTGGCGCCCCCCAGGGGAGGCGCGCCTCACACTTTGAAAACCGCTGGACTAGGTTATTAATTTATTTGCCTAATAGTTGCTTAAAATGCTACAATAACATTTGCAATTCGTTTTTAATCTGCCATGTACGATCTCTCAGCCACCGTAGTGTCGTGTCAGGTGGGCGTGTCGTGTAGGGGGCGTGTCGTGTAGTGTCGTCAATTCGCTTTTAATCTGCCATGTACGGTAATGTCTCTCAGCCACCGTAGTGTCGTGTCAGGTGGGCGTGTCGTGTAGTGTCGTGTACTTGCCGCGGCCGCAGCTGGACCCTTCTCATTTTAGTGGAGGAAAACAATTGTGACATCACTTACGCGACTCTGGGATTTGTAGTCTTTCTAGTTGCGTATTTTTCATAGTCTTATATTTCAACAGTTTTACGACAAACTGTGACTTTTTTGACATGGAAATGATTTTTTAAGATTGACAAACATCATATGTGTAATTCATGGCACAATTCAAACGGGATCGAAAGATACGTTTTCTCTCTCCATTGACTTCAATACATTATTTTTCCGAAATAAGGTCCCATGGACCGGAAGTAGATGGGCGTGACTTCGCCACTCTATAGCGGGCCCTCTGTGAATCGCAGAGAGGGCCAGACGAGCTTCTTTCATGTAACCCTTCACATTCAACAGAGACTGAACAGGCAGATTCGAAGGATTTATTTCTTTGGAAATGTTATTTTAAATACAATTAAATCAAGTTTTTTTTCGGTAAAACTAATGAAAAATATAACAAAAATAATATTAAAAAAATATATATTTAAAAAAAATATATTTTTTTTTAATGTTTTTAAATATTATTTTTTAGAATATCTTAGGCCCTCACAGAGGGCCTAGAAGGCCCTGACGGCTCGCCACTGGATGTATAGGATGCTACACAGGTCACTAAAGATAAAGTGTCAGGAGAAATAAGCAAGATACAGGATCTGTTTAACAGTAAATAGAAGTTCACATTTTTAATGTAAATAAAATAGAAGTTGTACATGTAAATTAACATTATCAATATAAATTAAAGTGCCAGTTGTATCAAGACTATATAATAACAGTAATAACAATAATATAAAATGAACTGGTGAGCATCTTGTCCTCCGTTTCCTGGGCCTTGGTGAACAGCACCATCTGATCCCCGTGCATCGACTCTTTCACCACGGCACGCCGGTCCTCCAACGCCTGGACGGTGTCAAAGAAATTCGCATCCCGTGTCCGCTTTCCTAAGAGGGGAAAATAAGCAAGATACAAGATCTGTTTAGTCGCCATGTAGTTTTACAACATACTAGTGTGTGTGTGTGTGTGTGTGTGTGTAGCTGCCGCTCAAAGTGCCCTTCTTTATTGTTTTGTATTTTTGAAGAGTGCTTCATGTATGCTTGAACTTTGTTTAATGTTGTTGAGGCAAGTTTTCTTACCGGAAGTCATGTGACCTCTAGCCCGGATGTTTACAATGTTTGTGAGAGAGTAAAAAGGCGCGAACATTTGTAAATGCCGGTCTAGGCGAATACGTTTTCACGCTGTTTCATAATTGTACCAAGAAGGAAATAAACATGATTGTGAACATCAGTTCGATGCGTAACGTTCTTTCAAGACAAAGTTACAGTGTGTGTACCTTTGCGTTTGGTTGCTGGTAAGGGGGACGACCAAGCGCTGTGATCTAGAATGCAAAGCTCGCTTGTTTCCAATCCCGAGAGTTGTCCATCCTCGCCTGAAACAGACGATTAGTGCCATGAGTTAGTGAAGCAAATTACAGAAACACTGCACAGTTATTCACAAGTCAAAACGTTTTCATAGCGGCCGAGAATATCTAGCTAGCTAGATGTAGCTAGCTCGGGGCCGGTGTTAGCCATTTCAGCCTAGCATGGCTAGCTTGATCTACTGAGCAAATACAAGTACATCTGAGACCATTATTGTGCAGATTAAAACCCCAGTGCAGGTAGTTGATTTTACCTTCGTCGTGGTCGTCATCGTTGGCCACTGAATCCGCCGTTTGTAGTCCTGCCTGAGTTTATTTATTTTTAGCCGGTATGCCGTGGGGCTGTGCACGATTCCCAGGTCGAGTGAAAGCTACTGAACTGGCTTCAGTAGCATTCCCTGGGTCGCGTCCTCGGCGTAGACACCTCCTCATCACTCCACCGCTCCGATGATTTCTTGATGCTTGCCATAACTGCTTTCAAAAACAAACTACTCTCCGTTGGTGCGCTGGGTTTTTGTAGCGAGGAAAAACAATGGCGGCTCTACACAACATTTTCACAGTTGTACGGGGCGTGGTTTGCAATTCGCCCAGCCAATCAGCACTTTTTTTTAACTCTGCTCTTCAAGGGCAGATTCAGTGAGAACAGCACCATCTACTGGCCTGGCATATGTACTACAGCGTCTCCAGCGCTTTCGAACGGCAATGGCCGTGGCTGTCTCCTCCTGATTGGTGGAGTTGGCCCAATAGCCGTAGCGCCACTGTCCTGACGTCAGGACAGTGTTCAAATCTGGATCAGTTTTTATCAGATCCGTTGCAGCCCCTTTTTTAGAGATTTGGGTATGGAGGAAAATAGAGAGGGTTGTGTTTTCTGACACTTGGTGAGTTCCCTGGAACACCGGGGACACATATTCATGTATAAAAGACGTACAAAAGTGCATTTTGCATGATAGGTCCCCTTTAATGTACAAAAAGTAAAAACTAGCTACTTATGCAGATTGGATCTTTTCACGTGATTTTTATTGATCCTGTTTTTATACATATAAGAGCATTTTAGTAATGTAGTTTATCAATGTGGACCAAATTCAGATACAATTGTAAACTTAAATACTGTGTAGATTAGTAGTACAGTAGGCTACTGCATTATACCAGATTATCATATCTTTTTTTGAATATGTACAAAGTAATTTTGAGTGTTAAAATAAATGTAGTAGAGTAAAAAGTACAATGGGTGCAGAGTACGAGTATAAATTAGCATTAAATGAAAAATCAGGTAAAGTACAAATATGTCATGTGTAGTATTAAAAAGAAATGTTACAATTGACCCTTTGCCTATTTCCTACTATTTACTTAGACAGCTTTAATGTCATCCTTCTGGCTCGGTGTGGCTGCAGCACACCGGGTCGCCTCCGGTCTGTGGCTCCGACTCCCGGCTCTGACTCCCGGCTGTGGCTCTTGCAGGCACCGGGCCAGGCTGCTCGGTCCTCCCTTATTTTCCGCTGAGCGACAGGCGGCTCATTGTGCTCAGCCGGCCAGCCAAGGTTACCGCCGCTCTCTCTCTCTCTCTATCTCTCTCTCCTATCTCTCTCTCTCTCTCTCTCTCTCTCTCCTCTCTCTCTCTCTCATCTCTCATCTCTTCTCTCTCTCTCTCTCTCTCTCTCTCTCCTCTCTCTCTCTCTCTCTCTCTCTCTCTCTCTCTCTCTCTCTCTCTCTCTCTCTCTCTCTATATATATATATATATGTATACTGTCCGCGGCACACAGCTGCCTCTCCACATCCACACTCTACATTTCGCACTCTAACGCGACCGGGTGGTGACTTTATGGTGAGGCTTTCTAAAATAATATAATTTTTTTTTTAAAGGAAAATAATGATGTTGCTGTTCAAGCGATGAGTTTGAGTGATGCTGAAGCGGTGACCTCTATCCTGGATGCGATCGACAGGATGCGATAAGTGTTTTTTTAATTGATTCCTCTGTGGAAGTTATCAAATTAGAGCATGATGTAATGAGATAACTGCTGTCACATCTTTACTTTACCGGAGACCGGGCTGCTGCTTTACTCCGAGCAGGAGTACAGAGCGTAGTTTTGTAATGGAATGGATGGGAAATGATACAGTATTCTAGGGTAAATCAGCGGTATGACGAATATGTTACACTAAATTGCAATGTTTTTTGTCATGCATTTGCTAAACTGCATCATATTGCCAAAATACTACACTAAGACTCAAGCAGCCGAATGCTGCAGCATAATATATTGTTACATTATTAGACTTTATGTATACTTTTTAGTAGTGGTGAAATCTTTTTAATGTTGCTTTTGTGGCTGTCTTAGGACTGGCTTGCAATTTTGTTTCAGGAAATTTCTAGAGAGCCATTCAAATATATGCTATACTACAGTATACTACACTCAGGCACTGTAATTATATGTTCGATTATGGTCCTGTTGTTTTTTATCTATCTATCTATCTATCTATCTATCTATCTATCTATCTATCTATCTATCTATCTATCTATCTATCTATCTATCTATCTATCTATCTATCTATCTATCTATCTATCTATCTATCTATCTATCTATCTATCTATCTATCTATCTATCTATATTCAGGACTCAGGACATGAGAAATACACATAGCATTCTCCATTACCATATATCTACTGTTTATTTTATATCAGGATATCAATTAATCTCAATAGAGTCAAATGTATTTAGAAATAAACTGTGAAACTGTTTCTTATAAACTGGTAAATGAACTGGTTTTGTTTAATCCAGTGCATTTAGAAACACAAACAGGTAAATCATCACCTGATGATGAATGATAGAGTCCTGCTAATTGATTTGCTGACTTTTACATTGACTGTTGGATTAAATCATTATGAGCTGCTGTGATGAAACAATTAATTTTGACCAAAGTCCAGATGATGCATTAGTGTTTCTCTGATTGTTAGACGTATTTTGCATAGCTCCAGCATGTAGCTTGCACAGCCTGCTAACATGCTCTCTGTTGTGGCTCAGCGCGCTCTGATTAAGGCCTGGCAGATTATCATGTTTTGGTGCAGCCTAATGCATCTCTTATAATCAGAGCACGGATATTACTGTTCTGATTCTGACCAGACTTTGACCGTTTTTCGTATGCGATTTGGTGACTGGGCAGCAGTGCATTATATGATTAAACTCTATATCTGGACATACAATTCTAATTTTAATTGGGACATATATTCCACAATGTTTACAAGTCAGTTGTTTCAGAAAATACCATGTAAAAGTATTGTTAATTTTGAGCTATTGTGCAATTCAGATGATTAAAATATACAGCAAACAATTATTCTTCGGATGGGTTGTGAAGTAGAAGGGCATTCTGTTAATATGTTTTTTATCTTCCCCTCTTACAATCTGACTGAAGTCAAATGATTGTACCCAACTGCATTCAAAATCAGATTTGTTGATTAGATATTTTAGATTTTTTTCAAGAGATACTGGAGGAACATACCAATGCAGAATTGCATATGGCCCTCGGTCCCATAAGAGTCAATATATCTCATAACTGCAGAAGGAAGCATGACATCAGTAAGATAGATCATACAGAATGTAGTCCATGTTTTCAAGCAGCAGACGCAGGTGTAGAAATTCTCCAGTGGTGCAGCAGACTGAGATGTTACTACTAAATTAAATGTGTAACTCGGAATGAAGAATTTCTGTGGTTGTAAGGAGGCAACTGTGCAATGCCTGAAGTGAAAATGAAATGAAGTGCAAATACTTCTGGGATGATAATGAATTGCCTGATGGTTACAGGTTTACAGCGAGAAAATCAGCAGCAGGGATTGGTCCTGTCTTTGCTTGGCAGTGTAAATGATCCTTTCATAACTTTACATGAGATCTCTCTGTAGAGGTTGTTGTGCCAGTGTTGTAACGCTTTGTGTTTGTAATTTACAACACTGGTTTTACAATGTATGATTTCAAGTAGGGATGCAGGATATACATTTTTCAACACCTGAGAGTCAGAAAGGCTATGATTTAGTGAGCAAAGATGAATGATTTAATATTTCATCGCTTTGTCCTTACCAAATCTAACTGACATCACAGTTGGTTTCAAATAACAGTTCTGGCTTTTGAATTGTTAAAAAGTGTTCTAGTAATGTCCATCTAAAAACATTCATCTTGCAATCCTGTTGTCTTCTTCGCAAATGTTAAGGAAAATGTCCACTCCCTAATTTAAAGGAAGTGAGTTTCCTCTATTGTTTAAACATGCATCTTGAGAATCTTGAATATTTTAACTCAGATCCTGCAGTTTAAAAAACACATTTGAACAGTTGACGAACAAATAATAACTTAAAACTTCTTTGAGTGAGAAAAATTATCCAGCGGTGAACATCCAGCAGACATTCATACAGTCAGACAGAAGGGCTTATGCTTTATATCACAGGGGTCACCTGACTGTCACCTGCATGGTGGTGGAATCCGATATTACATATACTGATTACGGAAAAAGTACTCTTACAGAAAATACTATACCTTTTCTAAAACTACACTAAGATTTAGACACGTTTTGTCAAATGTAGTAACACTGGGCTGGACAAGATTGTGTGATTAATACACGGAAAACATTTCATTACCTTCAACAACTCGAAGAATCACTGTACAACATCTCTAAGTGTACATTGATGATGTAATTATCCCCACCTGGCTGCTGGCTTCTTGTTTTACAGAAGTGGCCTCCTTGTTCCGTTATTTGAAACCACAAGATGTGAAGAATTAGTTTTTGGGACATGGGACGTTGTAGAGAGCGTGAGGCGGACAGACTGGTGCACAAACATTCATTTAACTGTCGCTCCTTTCAGGCTAAAAAATGCACTGGGGATTCACATTTGTTTCAGATTATGAGACAAAAGAAACATCTAGCAACCTATAACTTCAGCTAAATTCCAAACCCATTGGTGGTATTCGATGCATCAAGGAGAAAAAATTGGTTCCAAATCTGACTGCTTTAGTGTATTACTTTGTGGTATTAATAATTATAAATGAGAAAGAAAACACATTTATGTTAAACAACATTAGAATGGACATAACTCAAACTTTATATGCAGTGATATGTCCGAAGGCCTCATGGAATTGATACATGTTCAATTGTTAAAGCAAATAATTAGACATTTTCAAAGTCATTCTATAAAGCTGAAAATGATTCCATATTCTGTTTATTTACATTCATCGCTTGGATAATAGAAAGACTCCAAATAAATACTCGCGTTGGACTGTATGCGTAAATAGGCTAGTGTTTGTTAACACATCGCAATATCAACTTGACATGATATCATACCATATTCATGCTGCTTTAAATCATTCTTTTGCTTTTCATTTTGTTTTTAGGTGACAAATGGAGACCTTTAATCATGAACTGAACACTTACTTAGAGTCATGGATGGGTCCCAGAGGTAAGTCCTCTTTTGCCTTAATTTGACTTATTTAGCTGTTGTCTTGAATGTGTTGTCCACCAACATGTTGCATACGATATGTTTATCGCAAAATCTCAGCAAAGTTATACTATTAAATAGTTGAATGAGGTGTTACCTAAAACTCTTGATCCCAGGCGTTCATTACATGCTGTTCATTACATGCTGTTCATTACACACTCTTTACCTTCTGGCTGGTAACCCTTCTAGGTTTTGAGCAAACATTCCACAGTGCACTGCTGCTGCTTTTCTTATTTGAACTTCATCTGCTGTTGCCAATGAGGAACTTATCAAGGGTGAAAACTGGCCTCTCAATCTTCATATTTCAGATCAGCGGGTGCAAGGATGGCTGCTGCTCGACAACTACCCACCAACCTTTGCCCTCACAGTCATGTACCTCCTGATCGTGTGGATGGGGCCCAAGTACATGAAGCACAGGCAGCCGTACTCCAGCAGAGGCCTCCTGGTGCTCTACAATCTGGGCCTCACACTCTTGTCCTTCTACATGTTCTACGAGGTAAACATAGAGAGTGGCATAGAGAGATGTGCTGAAGTAGGCCGAAGCAATCACTGCAGTGTCACACTAGGGACATATTACGAAAACAAACTGACCTAGATCTCAGCCTCACTCAAATTCTAGTGTGTGAATATTACCAGAAATATATGAATGTTTAATTAAATAAATACTTTGCTTCTTAGACAGAATTAAGACTAATAGGCTACCACTGAAATATGAAACAACAGCCATGAGCTGGTTAGCTAAGCTTAGTATTAACTCTAGAGGTAGAGGAAATGTTACTAGCTTTAATTGTATTTAGTTCAAAAACAGTAAAAACAACTAGATGCGTTTGATGTGCCTTTAATTCTTTGCTAGACCGTTTTATCAAGGGTGACATTAAATTAGACCATTACCAATCTCTGCTTTCTGGTAATTTTGAAGCTACCTTAGCTTACCTTAGCGTAAAATAAACCCACAATTTGCTACTTTTACACTTTGATGTTTTCATTGCTTCTTTGTGTTAAGCTAAGCTTAACCGCTTCTGGCTACAGCTTGATGTGTAACGTACAGACATGCAAGTGGTATCGCTTCTTGTAAAGACAGTAGGCCAAAAGAGTTTTTCCAAAACTGTTCCTTTAAACATTAAGCTAGAGTCATGACACAGAAAAGAAAACTGCTAGCCTGGCTCTGTCCAAAGATAACAAAGTATTTATTCCAACACCTCTAAAGCTTTACAATATATCTTGCATACTCATGCTACCAAACTGTTTTTGTTCTTGCTTAGCTAAGCTAATAGATGCATCTTTATATTTAGCAGACAGATATGAGATCTCCTCATGTAACTCTCAGCACGAAATATGCATTCTCCCCTAAAATCTATGTATATCTATTTATTTAACACTTGACTCTTCTTAGAATCAGGCCTGCTTCTCCTGGCGTGTCTCACTGAAAGCTACCATTAGAGACAATTCTTTCAGGGAGTGAGAGCGTCACAGCTGGACGCTGACAGGCTTATTGTTTCAAACATCAAATCCGTCATATGCCATCGCAGACAACAGCACAGCCCTCTTTTGTTTCCTGAAACTGATCCATGCACTGATGTAAACAAACATTGTTTATTTGGCAAGGTGGCAGAGTCTGGGCTGAATTTGCTGAATGAGTTTGAGCAATAGCCCAAACTTTACTTAACATAGTGATCATATCCTTCATGGTGTATCCATTAACAGCAGGAAGTCCGAACCAGAATAAGCGGTTTGTTGACGTGTAAGTCTGAAGTATCTGTACTCTCCTCCACATCGCGCAGGCAGAACAAGCTTCTTGTCTTTCTGTCTGCATTGCGTAAGGCCCCAGTGGACTTTTGGCTTTGTGATTCATTAAACCCTGTACTCTGCACAATGCCCCGGCCATGGGGCGAACTTTTGGCAGTCCAAAATCAATGCCACCTGATGTGAATCAAAGTACAGGGTCAACTTTCCAGGGCACAGGGCTCTGCCACATAACGACTGAGATTAATTTTGTTTATTCAAAGGCTGACTCTTGCAGCCGTAGGATTGTAGAAACAATCAAGGAGGTATGTCAACCAAGAGGGTGGCAAATGTCTGTGCACACATGATAAAATAAACCCCCCACCCATTATTTAGCTGGTTCTTAACTGGTGGCAGTTTTTTGGCTCTGAAGTTAGTTAGCGAAGCCTTTTACGGCAGCAGACAAATACAGTGAATCCATTATTGATCCGGTGAATCAGCATTAAGCATGCCATCTACTTGCATTTGTAATGTTTTTATTTAAAGGTCCCATGTCATGCTTTTTCGGTTATTACCCGTCCCCTTGTGTGTTATGAAGGTTTTTATGCATGTAAACGGTCTGCAAAGTCACAAACCCTCAAAGTAAACCCTGTAGCGAGTAAAACTCTAACACAGAAAAGACCTGTCTATGCTGCCCCAGAACGCCTCGTTGGAGATTTATCTTTTTCCATTGTTTTCTTCCTGAGTACAGTGACGTGCCCATACCCAAATGGACCCAATCCGTGGAGCTCCTCACACACACACTCTCTCAGCCGCAAAACTGTGGCGCGCTTACACTGTAGGTGCGCCGCGTTTTGGGGTGCGGGGGGGGAGGGTGCGGGTGCTAGTGCTCGCAGATCCCACGCAGCAAGCAGGAAATGAACCCAGCTCACACGGTCTGCTCCTCGTAGCAGCGGGCCGCGCAACATCCCACCAACACGGCACCCAGACCCCACGCAGCATTCTCATCTGTTTGTCATTACTGGTGTCATTTTCTGGTTGCTAACGCCATTGTAACACATAATCACTGATGTTCCGCTGTAACGGTGGTAGACTCATCAGAACAGAGTGGGCGAGCTGACCAATTAGAACACAGTGGGCTCACAGGGATGGGGGGGGGGGGGGGGGGGGCAGGAGCTCCAACAAGCCGTTTAGGACAGAGAGTGAATACACATACTATACAGAGATGCTGTATGAGAAACCAATGTGAGTTTGGAAAATTGCACAGTATAAATCTATTCTAGTAGACCTCAACAATGGAATTATGATCAGTAGAAATGGCCATGACATGGGACCTTTAAAGGGGCATCACACAGATTTTACAAATGCACAATAGTTTACTTTTCACAGTAAGTGCTACTCTATTAATGTATAAATGTATTTGGTGGCTTTTGTCAGGTCTGGATAAAAGACCCTAGAAAATGTGTGTTACAAACACAGGTGTGCTAAGCAGGTACGGGCACACATTGTAGGTCACTGCACATGTATGCAAAATTAGATTGTTATGAATTCATATTTAAATTTAAATTCATGTATCTGCACTTCACCTAGTCTCTCTACCTGTGTGAAAAATGATTTGATAAATAAATTATTAACGAATCAAATGCTTTGTGATAACATCATGTTGTAAATTGACCTGAGAACCAATCAACATCATAAAATACATATAAGTAGCAGGGTGATCTAATGGTGTTTTTTTTCCTTCTTTTAATCTAATTTGATTGCGTCACCACAACCTGACACCAACAGATGTGGGACTAAATTATGTTATCACACCTGCTATCTGTTTATGCGTTTATTAGTTTAAGGGAAGGGAAAGACACTTATTAAACATTTTTTCACTTATATATTGCATTGCAGTGCTGTATGTGCTCAGGGATTTGGTAAAATATCTATTTATCATAATGGCTTTTTTCTCCAGCTTGTTACGGCCGTTTGGCATGGGGGCTACAACTTCTACTGCCAGGACACTCACAGTGCACAGGAAGTGGATAATAAGGTGAGTCCGATTAACACTGTCAAACATTTTTATGTTTATTGCTGCTAATTAGGGTCTGAGACCTAAGTCGGCGAAGACCCTATTGAAATCGGTCGCGCAGCGACCGATAAACCTGCGAAAAACACCCAAAAACAGGGAAAACGACCGGCAAAAGCACAGAAAAGGTTCGGAAATAGTGACGGCAGATAGTCCGCGCGAGCCCACGTGACTGCAACTCGCATAATTAATATCGTTACGATCAATTTATTCGCTCGCAAAGCGAGCGATAACCATGCAAAACCCACAAAAAACAGGGAAAAATAGGGGCAAAAGCCCATTAAAAGTGGCCTAAATCATGACAGTAGGAAGCCCACGCGACTACAGTGACGTGGGCGTAGCACCACGCGCGTCAGAAGTGGTGCAACTTGAGATGTGTAATTGGTTCCGGAACTTTACGTTAAAAATTGCGTAGGCCACGCCCACTTCCGTTTTTAACGTTAACTCCCCCCACTTTAACTTTCACGTAAACGAACGAAACTCGCTACGCATATCTAGGGTGCGGAGACGAACAAAAAAGCCTCTTGGAGGGGTATAAAATAACGTACAGGAAGTCGGCCATTTTGAATTTGTCGTCGAAAAACGCGTCAAAAAAAGCGATTTATTGTGTTTTTCATCCTCCGCGCAAAATCTATCTTCTCCCAGGGACTTTATCCGTACAACGGCGCAGCCGTGATTTGGCGCCAAAGTTCGCGTTCGCTCGATGCTAGGCGATCTCTCGCCATTGGAACACGATGATGTCATAACGCCAACTGACATGCTCACAACGCCACCAAACTTCACATGATGGTTAACACTGCGGCCCGGAACAGCTCTACGTCAAATTTGATGTTACTTAATATGGCGTTACCATGGCAACGAATCCCTCGCCATAAAACACGGTGTCGCTGTAACTCCAATGGACACGGTCCCATCGTCCCCCAATCTTCACTTTTATATCACCGGTCCATGCCTCAACAGCTCTACGTGAAATCTGAGATCTCACCGTATGCCGTTTCCATGGCATAAAACACGATGTTGTCTTAATTCAATGGAGAATGATCCAAACTGCACCAGACTTCAGATGACAGTTAATGGTCCGGCCCTCAACAGCTCTGTGCCAATTCTGAGATCTCACCGTATGCCGTTTCCATGGCAACACATCCCTCGCCGTAAAACACAATGTTGTCTTAAGTCAATGGAAAATGGTCCAAACTACACCAGACTTCAGATGACAGTTAATGGTCTGGCCCTCAACACCTCAATATGACAATAGTGAGTTTTCCTCAAAAGCTGTTGCCATGGCAACGCATCCCTCGCCGTTAACCACCATATTGCTATAACTCCTGTGTAAATGGTAAAAAGTGTTCAAATTTCCCATGTGTGCTAACCGTCAAGCCCTCGACACACATATATGTGTCAGTTTTGAGATTTCGTCAAATGTCGTTGCTATGGTAACAACATGGTCGCCGTGAAACACGGTTTTCTCATAACTCCAGTTAACATGCTCCAAACGGCCCAAAACGTCACAGGTTTGATAACGATGCAGCCCTCAACACAACTAGGCGTATTATGGGGTGTCATCAAATTCCGTTGCCATGGCGACTGATCACTCGCCATCAAACACAATGTTTATGATACTGCTGTAACTCCCATGTACGTTGTCCGATCGGCCTGAAACTTCCCACGTTTGCCAACGGCCGAGTCCTCGAGACACCTACACACGCACCTCGACGTGCGGACAACAGCCTGCGGAGCGTCGAAGACCCGCTCAACGCTGCTTGCAGCTTTAATTTAAATTGTTATCAGATCACATGCTTGACCTCATCTTTAAAACAAAATCATTTATTTCCTGTTCTGTTTCTTGATATTATAAACAAAGCAGTACATGTATAAATAGCAGTTTTTCTAGGACAGCTGAAATATATTTAATATTAAGCACAATGTGTTTATTTTCTTAGCTATGATTTCTTTGGGCGAGTACCTGTAAATCCCTGTGGATAAGCCGCAGAAACAGGGAGTCGATTTAATCCGACTCATGTCACCATGATGACTCTCTGCAGCTGCCCTCCTGAGCTCTGAAGGTGAAAACAAGGTTCCAGGTGAAAAGTGCATGGCTTTGCAGTTCTGCTGTGATTGAAAAAAACATGTTATGCCTCTGTTACGGCCTCAGATAGTTTAATTACGTTATGATTCTACCTGACCTTTCAGGACCTTGGGGACAGACGTCTGCTTATCACCTTGCATGGTTGGAACTTTTGAAGAACTTCTGCTTGTATTTTTTGCTTCAGGAATAATAAAGGATTTTCTAACCATTTCTTTGTTTTCACTGCGTCTCTTTTCAGATCATCAAGGTCCTGTGGTGGTACTACTTCTCCAAGCTCATCGAGTTCATGGACACCCTTTTCTTTATTCTACGGAAGAATAACCACCAGATCACGTTCCTTCACATCTTCCACCATGCTAGCATGCTGAATATCTGGTGGTTCGTAATGAACTGGGTACCCTGCGGCCATTGTGAGTGTTTTAACACAACTTTGCCCTCCAGTGACTCAAATCACTCTAGTAACCACATGTACTGTTTGGACCCCAGGCAATCTAAATAATTCAAGTACTCCAATGTTAAACCCATTAGCCTTGAATACAGCCTGTTTTAGCCACACAGCCTTAAAGTGAGACTTATTGACCTGCATGCTGCTGCTCTCTGCAACACACACATATTTGTTATGCTTCTCTATTAGAGCTGTGTGTTAAACAGCAGTCTGCAAGGAGTTCTGGATCGTCCACTGAAAACCTCCTTATCAATGAGCCTTTTACTATTGATTTTAATTTAAAAAACACTTCAGATCTAACATGTTTCATTATTCATCAGACGCTTACTGTATTATTTCTGTATTACTTTACTTTTAATGGCTTCTATTGATTTTACATGAACTTTGTAGTAATGGTTCCAAACAAAGCGACCTAATGAAAAGTAAGTTATTCCCCATATGATCATTGCACTCCTGAATAGTTACTGACACTTATTGCCTGCAGTAGATGAATAACGTCCTGTGTCTCTCCTCTGTGTCTCCGCAGCATACTTTGGCGCCTCCCTAAACAGCTTTGTCCACGTTGTGATGTATTCTTATTACGGTCTGTCAGCCATACCAGCCATGCGGCCGTACCTTTGGTGGAAGAAGTACATCACACAGTTACAGCTGGTGGGTCCTCCTGTAGTTTCTTCAGTGAAATAACGTTTACTTGTTCACTTGAATTATCTTTTTTAAGTAAACAATACACATAAGGAAACCTCAATTACTTATGATGTAGTTACACATGAATAAACTCTTTATTATATTGTAGACTTATTATTACTGATGCATTAATGTGTAGGTAGCCTTTTACTTTTGTAGATGGTCGAGTTTAAACAAGTTTTTATTATTTTATATATATTGTTGGACAGTTTAATATGCAAAACATTTCAATATTGCAGAAGAATGCTACAGTACATTTTAATGTTTGTTTAAATGTTAATCCAGCATAGAAAATAACAGGTGACTACAACTGCCATATAAATGTGTTGGACTACAAAACAATATTTGACTTTGAAATGTAGTGAATTTAAGTTTATTTCCTTATTTTACATTTCAAAAATCATAAATGTAAAAACATGTGATAGTTGATTTATTCACTTTACAACATGGAGCTGATGTTTCTCGTTGGATGTCAAAAGTGTCCATGGACTATTTTCTGCCGCACCCTCTTTCACTGTCCATTAAAATATATTTTAGGCTCCGGGTCAATATGTTTCTATAGGCTCTCTGTGGGTCACCTTCTCATTTAATATGTGACGGCCTGTGTGTGTTGTGTTTCCTCCACAGATCCAGTTCTTTTTAACCATGTCCCAGACGATGTGTGCGGTCATATGGCCATGTGGCTTCCCCAAGGGATGGCTGTACATCCAAATAAGTTACATGGTCGTGCTCACTGTCCTTTTCTCAAACTTCTACATACAGGTTGGTTTTCTGTTTTGAACCGATTATTAATGAGTTTAAAATTTAGTTTTGGTTATATTTTCTTCTGAATAATAAACTATTGCAATGTTGGTTTATAAGCTTTTTCAGTTCTGTTGCTGATAGGAGGCTCTTTGGGTTTATTAACAAAGAGAACTATGATGGAACGTTTAATTTAAAACACACAAACTTACCATATAAACAATAATAGTATTTGTGTTCCTGTATACATTTTTTAAAGAGTAAACTGTTAACCTTATTACATTTTGATGATCTTTGTGTGTAACAACATGTTACCTCTGCCTCTCTTTCAAGACGTACAAGAAGCACAGTGTTTCTCTAAAGAAGGAGCATCAGAACGGCTCTCTTCTATCGACCAATGGACATGTAAATGGCACGCCATCAACGAAGAGCACTGAACACAACAAACTGAGGGTGGATTGACATTTGAGAAACCGCCACCTAATTATCACTGTGTAGCGTGTTAGCTTATGCTACTAGGAGGTATCTTCTTATCTAGAATAGTTTAGCACTCAGTCGAGATGAAATACGCCATAGCCATATATATCCACAGACTTTCCACTTGTTTGCACACGTTCCTACTCATGTTATTGAATTATTAAATGTATACAGAAGAGTATTGTAGTATGGTTGCACAATATTGCCTCCCCTACCCTAGGATATGTTCACTTGAAAGCAAAAAAAATCCCTTTCTTGCTACCAGCATTCAAACACACATTCATTCAATGATGCTTTGCACACAAGAGGTCCAAAGATGAAGGCTGGAGAGAGTCTGTTGGCAGCTGAACACTTGATGACGTCTCTGTTTCAGCAACCCTTAATGTGTAACTACAGCATTTTGTGTCTGCTTTATCTCACTATCTGTACTGTTGCATAATCCTAAATTATTCCCATTGTAACACCTAAATGCATTTTGATTGACCTGTTGTAACAGCATACTTTCCCTTGTATATTTGCAGAGCAGGTTCTCGAATTCGGAATATTTAGCCATTTAACTAAAGCATATCCAAAGCATAGTGTACATAGTGTATTTGCTAAAGTTTGTATTTAAACTAGTTCAACACACAATGAGGACAGTTGTTGGGTTAAATGAGCACAATAACACTATATTTTCCTTATCTTTCCCTATGTTATAAAATGATAACACTGGACTCTACTACTGTAGCTTTATCCCGTAAATTCAATTAGAACTTTAATTAATTGACATTTATTACATTTAATTGAATAACTAATGCCCATTAGGTCTACGGTGCAGCTATTCGTTGGTAACTATTTAGAAGAATTGTTTCGTCGTATAATGTATTGTTTTGAGTCTTTACATAAATAGGGTGCCTTCTGGACCAGTCGATTTGGTTTCTAATGTGATATTTTTCATCTTTTTAAAATGCTATTACCAGATTCATGTTGGTCCATTTCAGACTTCCAGTTCAAATCCTGTGCCTGACTATTTATGTCTCGTTTTTGAAAATATCATTCCTATTCCTATAGCAATTGACACATACTTAATGCAACACTGATGTTTATCCTATGGGGCAAGGGAGAGTTACTTTTTCTTATGATTTCTTTCTGAGAGTTAGATGAGATCAATATTCCCACTGTATGTAGATACGTTAAACTGCAGCTGATGACCTTAGCCTAACATAAAGACTGGAAACAGGGGATACAGCGGTAACAAAAGAGCCAGGTACGCTGTTTTCACGTTTTCCAATCTTTATGCTAAGCTAAGCTAGCCTGCTGTATGTAGCCTTGTACAGTATTTAGAGTACAGATGAAATAATGGAATCAATCTTTCCATCTAGCCGTTGGCAAGAAAGTAAAACAAAATGTCAAATTATTTCTTAAACAAATTCCAAAAACTGTTCCTCATTTTACAATTTTAACATGTAAGAAAAAGTAATTACATGAGAATGATTTGTTTATTTTTTTGAGTGGATAAAGAAGGTTGTAATGATTTAACTATGATTTCCTATGTGTTCCTTTTGTTTATGTTATTTTATCTTTACCCAAACTATTGCCAGGGGCCTACAAAGTAAATGCTGGTATTGAAAACAAAGGTACAATGTGCGCATTATAAGCTGTGTAAATCTAAAGCCCTCGCTGTGGAGCACTGCTGCGGTGCTCTACCATGCTGAATCAATGTAATGAGTTTCTGTATGGCCTTAACCACTGAATGCGCATCACATGATGCTCAAATGTATAGGTGACCTAGATTCAGGTCTACTGCATCAGTAATTATTGTTAAATTCTGAATTAATGGCCACATTGTATCTGCTTCAGGAATTTGGTCAGGGAGATCTGCTTATAACAGACAACCTGTTTATCATACATTAGCAATATCTAGATAATCTGGATACCTGGATAAGCATCAAATTACACCGTAGTTCATTAAGGCCAAAGAAGCACACACATAGGTATGTAATGATATAAAACATACATTTTATAGACTGTTAAAAAAAATATATATATATATTTTCTGAAATCGATGGGGTAAATGTTGGTTCACATGTTGTGACTCATGCTTTACTCAATGTAAAACATTAAAAACAAACTGAGATTGTAAGCTCGTTTTCCTTTCTTTGAAGTGATGTAAATATTATATGAAGACGAACAATATCTACAGAGTTTAGAGTTTACTGAGCCTTATTACCTATTTAATGTTGGTTTTAAACATTTTAGTAAAGAGGATGAATGGTAATGTTAGTTTGTTGGTTGGTTCAGTGCTAATAAGCAAATGTAGCATGCTAATATGCTAAACTAAGTTGGTGAACTTGGTAAATGTTATACCAGCTAATCAAGCATGTTAGCATTGTCATTCAAAGCATGTTAGCATGCTAACATTAGCCTTTAGCTCAAAGCAGTGCATGACTAGAAGTCAGTCAAAATGATCCAATATCAGCTAATTAAGAGAAGCTTTTGAATAACATTATCAACAAATATTGTACAACATGATATTAAAGGGCCCATGTCATGCTTTTCCGGAACACAGAAAAGACCTGTCTATGCTGCCCCAAAACACCTCGTTTGAGATTTCTCATTTTCCATTGTTTGCTTCCTGGGTACTGTGACGTGTGAATACCCAAATCAACAACAAATGACCGGATCGGCCCAAATGGACCAATCCGCGGAGCACCTCACACACCAGGATCCCTTGGCTAACTAACAGGGAGTCCCCATTGACTTGCATAGAGCTCCCTAAACGCTGGTAATAGACGAGTTGGGATCGCGGAGAAATGCTCTCCGCAGACCCATTCTCACAGCGTTATAAACCTTTTTCTTACTCAATATCAAGCCACACTTATTGTTTTTACTTCGGCTGTGAGTGTTTGTGTGTGCTCAGGATGAGTTTCGCTTATTCTCGCTGTATCGTCGACCCGGAAACCTGTCCGCTCCTCGCAGCAACGAGCCTCACAACGTCCCGACCAATCAGAGCACACTGGGCTCACAGGGAGGAGGGGGCAGGAGCTCCAACAAGCCGTTTAGGACAGAGAGTGAATACCTGGTGAATACACATACTATACAGAGATGCTGTATGAGAAACCAATGTGATTTTGGAAAATTGCACAATTTAAATCTATTCTAGTAGACCTCAACAATGGAAATATGATCAGTAGAAATGGCCATGACATGGGACCTTTAAAGAATTGAAAGGTAGCATACTCCAAAATGATAAACCATAGCATATTTCGGTTGAATTTAACCTATTGTGTGTATGGTACTACTGCAACTATAATTTACATAAAATAAAATGATGCACAGGAAAAAATATGTCTTTGGGTTTTTAAATCAGATTATTTTCTTCTTTATTTGTAAAGTTGAGTATTTACAATGGGAATAATACAGATATTATGGTTTCTTGTAGAAAGTGAAAAAAAGAGGACGATAGATGTGTTCTAAATGTAATTTTAGTATAAAACAAACTTCTAAAGCTTTAAAACATGTTTAACCTTTACTCCACTATGGCTATCACTCACTTGATCCACCTCTGGACCATGCAGACTTGTCGCTCTGGTGTTTCACACACAGCTCACATTTTCATTAAGGACAGAGCGACAGTTTGTGAGCTTTGATAGCATGTCTTCTGGCCAGCCACGATACAAACAGCGGGTTGATAGTCTCAAAGATATCCCTTGAAAGATGCACTATGGTAAGAATGTGTCAGTTTAATGATGTATTGGACAAATTGTCTACATCAGCCTTTAAGTGTGAATCAACATCAAAACTGTGAAATTCAAAAGCCAGGGTAAGAAAAGGCAACCACTCGAGACTCCAGGAAGTAACTGCACCCGACCAACAAATAGTCTGGCACATAACCCCATGTACTGTAAAACCACTTTGTCCTATTTTACTCTTACACAGCTTAACCAGACGAGATGTAGAGTGGTATGTTTCAGTCGTGCTGGTAGGCATATTTTGTTACATTTGGACCGACCGAGGCTCTCAATAAGCTGCGTTGTGATAAGATTTTTATATAAAATAGAAGATTGACTTAAATCCCAAAACATTGTACATATGTCCTGTCCAGAGTAGTAATACAATGCTGCATTGGTTTGAAGTTGAGCTAAACAGAAATAAATTGTCTTGCCATTTTTATTGAGTTATTACTGGAGAGTTCCTTTGTTGAAAATCCAACTAAGGTCAGGTCAACCAGCCACAAATAATTTAGCATAATCCAATACAACTTTCACATTCATTATTTTATTCCCTCTGCAAATCCTGTTTGATCAATCTGTGTTTGTTTCTCAGAGAATGGAATACGTGGATAATGCCTGTCCTCAGCAAGACAAATGATGAACTGTAGAAGTCTGAAATCACATTTGCAATGCCTTTTCACTGAGGTTGTGTAATAGGATCTCCATATTTTTTTCTATGATGTAACATTGTTCCTCTATTCCTATATTGGATACATAAAGGCCTGGTTTTATATCACAACCGAGTGTCTGATATTTTAGTTTTTTTAAGATTTAACCAATTTCCTTCAATGTAGTACTTGACAATACACGTAATTCTTTACATTTTCACCACTTTTTATTTTAGGGAGAAGGTGAACCATGAAACACAGTATAAACATTCAATGCTTGGAACAGGTGGGAAAGGTTGCTAATTATTTTAGCTCTCAGCACATTATTATAGTTTCTGAAATCAGAAAATAAGTAGTATTCTATTTTGTAAACCATCAACAAAAAGTGATCTCATAAGTAACATGAATGTTCGATTATATAACATCATATTCAAGCTGCAGCACAAATTAACCAAGCTGAGGAGAATGCATTCTGTGATAATGGTAGAGGAACTTTTGCTGTTGTCTTGCTGGTATTGTGTGCAGGTCTCCAGGCTGCTTAAAGAGGCTGAATGGAGAAAGCAGTGTAGCTCTTCACACGTGCAAAGATGAAGGGCTGGTACATGCTGTCCAGGTCGAACGCAGTGATAACCGTTTCCCCACTCAGCCTAGAAAAAAAAGAAATAATGTCAATTTTGAAAACAAATGGAGGATAAAACACATCTTAACTACTGTTACAACTTGTATCTCTTACTTGTAAGTGATGT